GGCTCCTGCTACCTCAGCAGGCCCTTTATCCGCACAATTTTTGACCTGCCTCGAGCATTGCCGTCATCTGGCCCGAATCAACACCGGCATCTCTCAGGAAGCTCGTAAGTCTCGCTACGACTCAACTCACCGTGCTGTCACCTTTTCCCCAGGAGACGAAGTTCTTCTGTGGACTCCCGTGCGTGTGCGCGGCTTATGTGAAAAACTCCTCAGTCGTTTTATAGGACCTTATACGGTGATTGAACAAACGTCCCTCGTTAATTACCGTATTCTCACCACTTAACGCTCCCTTCGACCACCGCTGCCGTGGGACAGAAATTGCGCGTTTCTCGACTGAATCTGTATACCCGACGCAATTCCTAATATTGTCTCTCACGCTGCCAGGAGGCTGCTTCCAGCGTGACGGGGAATTAGTGTGAGCACAGTCACCGACTCATCTTTATCAATCGGACGTGTCATCGTCATTTGTATAATTTCCTCATCTGTAGATATCATCATTAGTGTATGCGAGCTCGTCTCGAATAAAGCTCTTCCTCAATATATATATATATATATATATATATATATATATATATGAGATTTAACAGACAGTAATGACAAGGAATGTACAGGGGAAGTTATTAGAACCAATGGAATGTAAATAAGAAGAAAGAAAAGTGGATGAAAAAATAACCAGCCGTGAGCAGGAATCGAACCTACGACCTTCGAATAACGCGTTCGATGCTCTAACCACTGAGCTACCACAGCGGCCTTCCCTCCTCAGTGGTTAGAGCTCAGTGGCTCAGTGGTTAGAGCATCGTACGCGTTATTTGAAGGTCGTAGGTTCGATTCCTGCTCACGGCTGGTTATTTTTTCATCCACTTTTCTTTCTTGTTATTTACATTCCATTGGTTCTAATAACTTCCCCTGTACATTCCTTGGCATTACTGTCTGTTAGATCTCATTAATATTGTGTTAAAACACGGAAAAACGAGCCCTTAGGTATACACTTCTTTCCCTCATATGTATATACATATACATACATATATATATATATATACATATACATACATATATATATACATATACATACATATATATACATATACATACATTTCACTTACATCCTCCGAAGAAGGCTGGTCCACCAGCCGAAACTGTTAGGATTAAATAAATATTTCATTGTTTTGTTTCCTATACTGCACTATTTTCGAAGTTTATAACTTTTATTACGGTAGCCGGAAGAAACTCTGATCATCTATTTCATATATATATATATATATATATATATATATATATATATATATATATATATATATATATATATATATATATATATATATATATAAATATATATTTATCATTTACTCGCATAATAGGTGCACTTTTTTTGCAAGAAAATCCGGCTCCAAGTTTAGAATGCCCCTACGAGGAGGGGTAAAATTTCTGAAAATTTTATTTCCGACTATATCATGATAACGTATAAGTCGCCGAAGTCACGAATATCTGATCTACAGCTGAAACAACCTCCGAGCCCGTGGAGCTGGCGCAGCGCTGCTGTGGTCTCTTTATTTTATTTATTTTCTTTTTGCTTCAGTCAACGTATTGGAATGCAACTGTGAAAATACAGCACAGCACTACTCATCACGGCAAAGTTTGGGGTGCGTCTATTATGCGTAGTAATAAAGAAATCTGATTTCTTGCGACCAAACTGGAAATGCGCCCATTATGCGAGTGCGCCTGTTATGCAAGTAAATGCGGTATATATATATGAGTGGATTGGGGAGGTTGTGGTGCTTATCTTAAGTCCTGAACTATCGTGAGCAATACAGTTAAACCTGTTTATAACGAGCCTCCATATAACAAATTCCTCGATACATATAACGAAGTTTTTCTACTCCCTGCCGTCGATCCATAGAAGCACATGTATTTACGACCTCTATGTAACAGAGCAACAGCAGGAGGCAACCTTAATATATAACGCATTTGCCCCACAGCAAATCTAGGAATTTCGCTCCGCATTTTGTCATTTTGGTACGAGCATGCATCTTCCGTGGCTTCCCTGCCGCCGACCAAGCGCGAAGCGGCCCTGCACCCCACGAGCCTGTGTTGCGGCCATTCTCATCGCCGAGTGTGCCCCCCCCCCACCCCCCACTAAAGAATAAATACTTTTGCGCGTTGGCAATGCCACGCTTTTACGTAGTGTAACATATGTGGGACCGCGCTGCATAAGGAGGGTGCTTTCCCGAATAGTTTTTCGCGGTATCCATGTCTGTGTCTGTGTCATTTGCTCTTCATTTTCGACGCCTTGCGCGTGCATGTTTTCCACTGCACGCGCATGGCCCCCGACGAGGTTCAGCTTTGCTTATTTTTTTTATTGCGATAGCAATTATGTATATGGACAGTCTCGGCTGGTTTTCTTGCCACCGCCGCCATTCATCGTATATGAATACGTGTCTATATATATGAAAACTCAAGAAAAAAAGCCACCCGCGCTAGACACCCAGCTCGTCATGGTGCCGCCGAGGAGCACCTATCTCCCTCGTGTACTTTGCCCCGCGAATGAGAGGGGAGGAGTTAAATGCATGTGGGAGAATCGTAGGCCTTCAACTTTGACCAGAACGATTGCGTTTAGTTGCCAGGTACACAAAGATCACTTCGCTCGCTGGACAGGCACCGTTTGCGAAAAGAGTGCGCATTTGAAACACAGCAAAGTAACAACTGAGGCACTTGTTAGTTCGCACTCATTACGTTTCGTGCCTCATTTTTGTTTAAACAGTGTGTTAAGTGTCGAGCAGTAAACGTTGTTAGTTTCCTGTCGTCCTGTGTATGTTGTTTTCGTGCATCATTTGTGCGTGAGCACCACACTCCACGTTTCGATCTGCTTGCCGTTCTAAGCATTACATTCTAATTTGTTGTTATCGCATTCATTGCTCCGCCCTTGCGGCGAAACTGTAACTTTTCTTAATTTCGGACAACCGTGTTGTCACCACCGAGGGGATGTCAGATTAGGCGCTGATGGAAACTCTCCGAGACCACAGTGACAACAGATCTTCGGAGGTTGACTCGTCATGCGCTTCCGTTTTGCGCCGCGCCGCGAGTTCGCAGGCTGGTAGCTTTCGCGATTAGCCGATTAGTTTTAGCAACACAGCGGCGCGTTCAATGCGATGCAATGATTGCGATAGCAAAAATTGTAATGTTATAAGAAGTAGGGCTGGCAGCCCAACTCTTTTGGATTCGATATCGTGAAACTCCTACAAAAAAAAACAAAAAAAAAAACGCTAGAGTGAGCATACGGCCGCTTCAGGGAGAAGTGCTCTTTTCACACAGTCTCTTCACGTTGAAATACTCGTCGAGATAGCAAGCGCACCAGCGATCGCAATTGCCCTTAAAATCCTAGTTCATTATTACTACTTGAACGATTCTCGTCCCCCCTCCCCGCGTTGTTTCATACTCGTTCAAGACGGGTCGTTTACTTTCTGTTTGAGCCTTCGACGGCAGTTCTAACAACACGGAGGAGATGTTATGCCCTTTTCAGGCAATAGGGATGGGCAGACTCATTTGATCTCTGCTTCAGCAGCGCTCGCTCACCCACCCATGAAAGTTACGATGCGCGGGAGCATAATGTATTATCAATTTGGACTTGTTACATAACACAGCGGTGACTGCGAAAACCCGCCGCGAGTGTCCGATAATTGGTATCGCAATAATAACGCAGCTTTTTACTGTAAAATAAGTGTTTTTTGGGTTAGCTCTGCCTTCAGTCCCCGTTTCGTTTAATTTGCGCGTTTATTTTATAAATTTTTGTACCGACCTGCATATAACGAAATCCTCTAAATAACGAATATTTTGGGAAACTTATCAATTTCGTTCTATACAGGTTTAATTGTATGAGCCTGAACACACGAGGGCGTGGCAACCAATCAGGCTGTGCAGCTACAAAGATATCGGCTGTGATGTAGCCTGCCAGTGATGCACAGGCCATGCTTCGCTGAACACATTGAAGCGCAACCATCCGCATCTTTCACTTTTGTTTTTGGTGCATTTACTTTTGGCGTCATCATTGCTAGCGGCCGATGGCATGCAATGAGCTGCCGCTTCACAGCAACAATCATGCGGGAGTGCAAACTGTGATTAGAAGAGCTTTCTCCTCCCCCCTTACTGTTTCGGCAGCGCCATCCACGCATCTCGTTATCTCGGTTTTGAGGCCATTTGCCACACGCTCGCGTGTTTGAGCTCATATTGCTCAGGCTAGTACACTGTCGTCCTTTATGAAAGGGAACAGGCCAACGCATGGCCTGCGCTCCGCGGCGGCTGCCTACAGCACCATCAACAGCAAAAGGAAACACGTTCGCTTTCAGCGTCATGTGTTGCCAAAAAAAAATAACGAGTAATGGCCGGTAGACAAGCGCTGCTAGATTGCACTTTCTCTCTCTGCTTGCGCCTGCAATGTGTAGTCCACTACCAACACATCAAACGTTGTTCGCGACTACGGCAGGAGCTGCAGTAATCGCTCAACATTGCTCACCGCGCGAATCTAGTAGCGCTTGTCTACCGGCCATAACTCGTTATCTTGCTTGGCCATAGATGATGCAAAAGGCGAACATGCTTTTTTCACTTGTCGGTTGATGGTGCTGTAGGCAGCCGCCACAGAGTGCGCGCAGGCCACGTGTTCGCCTGTTCCCTTTCATAAAGAACGACAGCGTACAGTGTAAGGATAAGCACACAGGTCTCTAGCATTTTGCATTCATCCAAATGTGACTGCCGCAGCCAAAATCTGATCCCGTGAGTTTCAGGTCAGCAGTCGAGTACAATAACCACAAGACCACCCCGGTGGGTTAAGGTAAGCTCCACAGTGTCACGGGTAAGACAGGTTTTGATCATGCAAAACCACCAAAGCAAACAAATTTGACGAGTTAGAATAGCTTTGCTCAGTCTTGCAAATTATCGGAAACACAATTACGACAAGTCACAACTGCCCTGAGGGTGAAGTGCCACTGGGACAGTCTACTAACACCCACCTCTTCTCGGATCTGCTGCACGAGGTGCTCCTTTTCTTCTCGGTACTTGGCCTCCAGCTTTTCCCTATGTTCTCTGAACGCTTGCCGATACTTGGTGTCGCAGTCACACTTTGCTGGAGCTTCTTCCAAGCTTGGTGCCTTGTTTACTCCAGCAAGCATCTGCACATGCCAGGCAAAATAATGGAGAAACACTTTTCCGTATGCACTGATGTACTTGCTTTATGAATAATAATAGCTAGAGTTTACCGTCACAAAACCATGATATGATCATGAGACACCTAGTGAAAGGCACCAGAAATTTCGACCACCAGGGATTCTTTAATGTGCAACTAAATCTCAGCATACGAAGCTCAAACATTTTCACCTCCATGTACTTGTTTTTACGGTCCAGTTAAAAAAAAAGCATTATTTGCACAGGCATCAACGAGTTCACTAAAGCAGTCTATATGGAAGGAAGCGCGCCCTGCATAGCAGAAGCTTGAAGTACCAAATACTAGGTTTGTGCGAATATTTGAGCACATTGAATATTCGAACTTAGATCACTGAAAATTTCGAAGTATTGAAATGAATGTGTTGATGTACAGTAAAACCTCGTTAACTTGAAGTCGATTATTTCGAAATCCCACTTAATTTCGAAGAATTTCCACGGTCCCGCAGTTAGCAATGTAAGTTTGAGTGGATAATTTGAAGCGTCGGCTAGCACCAGTCCGGTTAATTCGAAAACTTTGGGTGTTGTGTGCCAGTTCCATATCCCGATTGCGCCGCAAATCCGCGGTACAACGGCTGTTAATAGCCACAAGGCAATGCAATGTATCGATACTAACGAGTGGCAGCTGAAGCACCCCAGCCTTGCTACTTTCAGCGCAAAAACCTGCGCCTGCAAAAAACAAGCGGTGCTTCACTGCAGCACAGCGGTGAGACGCTGGCAGCTTATCGCATGTTTCTCGCAACGTCAGTGGGCCATGGTTCACCCATTCGTTCGGGGATTGTAAAGAAATTAATGAAGGACAATTTAGCGGATATCGCGATGTATGCGAACCTCCGATTGCCCGTTGCTCCAGCAATTCGCCTTTTTGCACTGGTGGGGGAGTTCTTGCCAGCAACACCTACTTCGAAAACTAAGTTGAAAAGTTTCAAAGATCATTCTTTCCAGCCAAAACACATCGTGAGCTTCATCATACTGGCCATTATAAAATTCATAATTATAATAGAACGAATGTGCAAATGGTCCCGTCATGACATGCTGATAGAGCGAGGAGCAGGCGACATGCTGCTCGCATGTCACAACTGTGTTGCAGTGAAGATGTCTTGTTTTCTGCGGGCGTACATTTCAGCCGATCACGACCACATTTTATTTTTATTTTTCTATGGCAGCAGCGAGGCCCACTGTTCTTCCATGTTCGTGGCAAAATAAAGACGAGGTATTACTGAAAAACATGACCTGGTTACTTTGAATAGTTCTGGTTACTTCGAATAGTTCCAAGTTCCTTGCATCCCACTTGCGTGTTCTGTCAATTAAAAAACCCGCTTAATTCAAAGCTTTCTCGCGGCCCCAGTGACTTGGTTTTACTGTATATTATCCCTCTTGTAGCCTCCTGTAAAGCTGGTTTCACTTCAGTGAAAGCATGCTTTACCGTGAATACACCTACACAAAGAGAATAAATACACACTATCGTGAAGCCCCAAATAACTCGTCACTTTGCAAATTTAAGTGTAAGAATACTTCACATCAACTCATCAGTTTTTAAGTTTAGAAGCTTGTTACACCAGCTTATCAGCTCTAAGTATACCACATATTAAAGCTTAACGTGTCTTACAGATTATCTCTTGCATTCAACCGAAAGTCAAACCCTGCTACCATGTATTCAAAGTTGCTTCCACTTCCCACTGAACCAAAGAATGACATTTGTGCATGTCTTGTTTCAATTAAAAAATATATGTATTGCCTAGATTAGCTGGGTCATGACAAATATTCTCATTTTTCTTCATAATGTGTGACATACAGAATTCCAATTCACTACAAAAGTTACTTGAAAAAATCAATATTTGCTTCGAATGCGCTTCGAATGCACTTCGAACCTAAAATTTTACTATTCGCACAAGCCGAGAAGATACCCATCCAGGCGCCACAGTCATGTCGATTTCTATGCAGTAATGTTTGATTAAAAAAAGGTGTAAGAACACACACAAAAAATCCACTATGCAGTTTGTCATGATGTACCTTGCTTGTTTGTGGTTGACAGCTGGTAACCAAGTTGATGAAGCGTTAACATTATTTATTACCTAGGCCCAGTGGCTTAGGTAATAAATAATGCCTGTTTACTTGCTTATTTAATAAATAATAAATAATACCTGTTCACTTGCTTTGTTCTCCATCTCTAGGAGCAGCTTAATTAGCAAACATGAACAAATGGATAATGTGCTAGCATTTGCATAGGCACTTCTTTATTCAATCATAGTTTAACCACAGCAGAAATATGGAATGAAGACGCAAAGGTTTCACAGCATCGTGCATTGCATTTCAGTAAAGGCTGCAGTTGAAGACTGAATCAGTTGGTGCGTACATCACCCCGTAAAATCAAGGAGACCTTTATGCATGCACTTTTTTTTCATTTTTTTTTTATCATTACTGACATCAACAGAACATCAACTGCTTTATAGCGAAGCCAGCCATAGTCCGGCGAACTCACTCACGAGTCCATTCACTCGGACTCAGCCTCATATCAAACCGTGAGTACGAGTCTGAGCGAGTCATGGTGAGTAAAATTTTGGCGAGTTTGAGTACGAGCGAGTCCGGTTGAAGAAACTTTTTGTGAGTGCGAGTCCTGCTCAGAAAATATTTGGAGAGTCAGTGTCAGAGTGAGTTCAAAGGGCAAAATATATTTCAAGAGCGAGTCTGAGTGAGTTCCACTTTGATTTGCTGACCTATACAGCCACCCGCGTTCTCCTATTGGGCGCGAGGCCCACCACTGGAAGAGCGAGCCCTGCAATCGCTGTGACGTGCATGGTTGGATCACGTCATCTCGCCTCGCTCTGGCGAAGGAAGGCTGGTGGTTGGATGCGTTATCTTTATCGCGACTTTGCGGTGTTTTCATTCTTGAACAGCACTGTTTTGCTCTGGCTTCATATGTGCAGACTTCTGCAGACTACACTATCGGGAAAGTTGCAGTAAATGTTACTGGCGGCGTGCGACAGTGTGCTACGTACGTGAGGGTACTGTCACGGCCGCTGGCTGTGCCACTGTGACCCCTCTCTTTCTCTTTTGTAGTGGCTATTTCGAGCAGCCTATGAGCACCGACCACGAATGCTCACATAGAAGCGGAATGTTTTAGTTTTTGCACTCGAACCTAGTTCCCAACAAAAAATGAATAGGCAAACAGCCCGATTATGTATATTTTAAAGTAGGACGTAGGTGTGTACATGTGGGGGCAGTTGTCGTGATTATACATTCAAAAAGTGCGCCGTTGTCTGAATTGTCAGAGAGTCAAGATATAGCCTGGAATTTCAGTTCTTTCCCCTTTATTTTCGCTAATTTTACACTATTCTGGTCTATTTCGCGACCAGTTGCTTTGGTGTGTCCGGCCAGCGCATTGGATGAAACTTTTTTTTTTTTTTGTTACATCGTACATGTACCACTCCAGTCTTTGCTAAAGCTTTTTTCTCTCACCAATGTAACGTAACCACAGTCTGGGCCCCCCCTTCTCCCCACCCTCCATTTTCCCCGTCTATCCGTCTTTATGTGTGTAGCCGAACACACAGATTTCCATCCGCCAGTAGCGTAGCCAGAAAGTGGCACACCAAGCCCGAGCCCCCCCCCCCCCCCCCCCCGTTTTTCTCATGGTGTATAGCGCATGAAATAACGGTCTATCACATCTGCCTTCCCAGGCCCATATCCAATCAAGATGGCACCCCCACCAAAAAAAAAAAGTCTGCCAACGCCCCTGCCATCTGCAACTTCAGCTCACAGGGTTCCTCGCTTATAGATGAAGTCTGCAGAACGGGCCCATAGGCACTGGCACTTCCTCCGAATGTTGTTTTAATCTACAGGCGAAAACGTGGTCAGCTTAGAAAACTGATTCATCTTCTGAGCTGCCGCGCAATATCACACAGCTTATAAATGAAGCTCTCAAAAAAAACGGACATCGGCGATTTCACTAAAACATGAAATTTCTATTTAGATCACACTATGCTAGACCTCGCGGAAGGCTCATTCAAGGGCGCAAAACGATACGGCTGGCTGATCGCATTTTTTGTTGTCACGATTTACCCCTTGGCAGAAGCTCTGGAACTGAACCAACCATTCGTAATTTGTTTTCACCCATGTGTGGATTGATGGCAATCGAATGTGCAACGAGTGAACACCGTAAAAATTTTGCACAATAAATATTAGAGTCGTGCAGCAGAGAGAAGTTACAGCTATGAATGAGGCACGCACGTGCATGATTCTCACGTTTGCCCACAATCATAACAGAAAGGTTGCGGCTGTAAAAATGCTGTCCTGCTTCCCACAAAGCAGGGAATCAACTTGCGCTGTGCTTCGTGGGACTGTGTGCCCTAAACAAAAAGGTAAATTTGCCCAAGCTTGTCATGTCAACCGCGGTCCGTCTTTAGACAAAACGTACAATGAATAAAATAGAGTGGATGAGTGCGTTTCTTGCAGCAAAGATAAGTTTATTCACCATTATTATCCAATTGCTGCTTCAATTCGGCACTGAATGAGTTGTTACCTTTTACAGAAGCAGCGCGCTCGGCCCCCGTGGTTTTCATTTTGGTGGCCATAGCAGACGATACCAGCAGTCAGGCATTATGAGAAGCGCGACGCTTTTCCGGGGCAGTAATTCAGCACTTTGTGAAGTCGCAGAAGAGCTCCAGCAGTATTTTACTGATTTTGTTGAGTGAAGTACTATGAGAATAATAATAAAAAAAGAGGCACGAAAGCTGCTGCGGGCTGCGCGCGCAGCAGGCAGAGAAATCAAACTACCCATGTCACAGGAATGCCTCTACATGGTGGCACCACGGTATGGCCTTGCGCCCAATTTTTATTATGCCTGTGCAATCAATGCAGAAATCATAACCTCCATGACCTCATCTGGGTCATTTTATGAAGCAGGCTGTAAAACATACCTTTCGGTGTGTTTGCGTTGATGTGGAAACCCTACTGCTGGGCGATTCTTGACAGGATGATGACACGACATTGTGGTCCTCTGATGAGGATTCCTCCTAGAAGGAAAAGCTTGCCATTGCTCAACAGTGGCCTCACTATGTTGGCACATTGAAACTGCTCTGATACATGTCTAGCTCACAAAGAACCCTAAAGAAAACAATTATAACCTTAAAGTAAACAATCATCAATATTGGATGTCAGTCCTTTTCACCTGGCTTTTGAGGACACGGTGACTGGACTAAAGGGAACCTGCAACACTTTTCGAGCACGGTCAGAAAACGCTGCCAATCGGTAGTAGAAGCTTCCGAGAACACGCGAGTCAAATGCTACAGCACAGCAAGCGGCCTGGAATTCATAATAAATGATCAAGGTCAGCTAAAGATTGCTTCATCTTCTCTCTACAAATCACGGATTAAACCCAAAAATCACTCGTAGTAAGCCCATCTATCAGTCATTGGCCGATTTTAACATGGCGCACTCGGTTGTTACGGGGATCACCGCAAGAGGCCATCACTTGTCCATGCGTGCGCGCGCGATCGCACTGGAAAAGCCGCGTATTCGCAGAAAAGAAAAAAAAGCTCAAGGTAATGAGGCGCGAGTGACATTTTTTTGTTTGCCCCTCCCATTCCTCCGTGCTTAGCTTCCAGTGCTTCCAGTGCTTTCGTTGGTACGAAAGAAGAGAGAATGCGATTGCAGCCTGTGACAAATCTTTGTAACTCCGCTTGTACTGGACAGATTCTTAAAAATTTTGCGGCGTTGAATTTGTGAGCCAATACGCTTTTCCAGTGAACTAATCCCATGGTTACTAAAAAAAAAGTGTTTCAGGGCCCCTTTAAGCCTGTATTCACAAACCAACCTCAAGCTTACCTGAAGTTTTCCTTATCGAGTAGCTTTTATTGCGCTTTATGAACAATGTAGGCCAGTATTCGTGAATCAATCTTGTTGATGTCTTTCTTGTTAATCTCTTTTATTGATCTTGTCGATATCTTTACCCTGTTACTATTTTTGCGCCCTTATGATGCACGTAGTGAGTACAAAAACATGAGGAAAACGTGATGTAAGGCCTGGTTCGTTTGTGAATATGCTCCTTAGGCTCTGCTGAACATAGACCCAATAACAAGTGACCAGCTAACCTTCAGCCGAAGCCTCTTTGTGGGCAAGGACGAAGACGGTGTTTCCTCCTCAGAAGACTCCTCAGACTCCTCCTGCTCCTCCTCATTATTGTCGTCCTCTTCCTCCTCGTCACCAGAAGCCGAACGAGTGGTGGCAGGCGGAGGAGGCAGAGAAGGCTGCACAACACGTGGAGGTCTGCCCCTCTTTCGCGGAACACCGGTCGCCGTTGTGCCCTCACTTGGGCGGCCGCTGCCGCCTCTCCGCTGCTGCTCGAGGAGCTGCTGGTGCCTGCGCAGCTCATCCAGAGCTTTGTTGAGGGCAGGTGTACGCTTGGCTGCAATCACCTTCAGGCTCGTCGTGATTGGCTTGATGCTTCCCTTCTCGACAAGAGCCCTGGGACGAGAAGCCAGTAAAACCCCTGTATGTGACAGCTCTAACATGGCAAGAAACAGGATTTGCACTGAAATGGCATTCTTTACTTTTCATTATTCTACTGTAAACTAAGGTTTATATCACGTCAGTTTAGCCGAGTTCTTATTGTCTTAACCCTAGCACAAAAACTGGAGGATGCTTTAGCTTCCCCTTTAAGAGCAGTTTGTGACAGTGTAATCGGGCCTCGTGCCCATCATCTTCTGCACTGGTAACCCACTACGGTTCTCGATGCATTCCTCAACCGTTCCGCAAGCGAATGAACAACAGTGCGTGTAACATTGACTATTTCAAAGTATTATTAAAGGCCTGTTGCAAGCACAGCTAAGTGCGTGCTATACCCCAATTATTCTTTTTGCATATAAGCGAAAGGCCCACTGCACATCTATAGGGCAACACGTGAACCTACATAGCTGTTCACTTAGTTGATAGTTCTGCAGCTGATGATAAGTAAATGTGTCTGAGCGCTTTGTAATGGGTGGGCCTTTGAAACATTCACTTGTTGCTCAATTCCTATCGTTCGATGCATGGCGCGATTCTACACTTCTGCAATGCAACATGATGCGTTAAGGAGACGCTTTTCACTATGTGACATTGATGCAGTGTTTTTTTTTTCCAAAGCAGTTTCAACAGATCTTGTGGCTCTCTGGTAGAACACTCGCTTGCCATGCAGATGGCCTGGGTTCGATCCTCACTTGGATGCTGAATATTTTATTATTTTATTTGCATCTTTCTCGATTTATCGGTAATAGATGATTTTACGCTCGCAACCAACGACGCCAACACCAACATCAACGCTGAAATTTCCGTGAGAACGAGCTTTTTAATGCTACCGCGTTATTAACCACCCAAAGCTCTATACAGTTGGTTTACCCCCAAAGCTGAAAGGTACAGCCCAGGTGCTTATCATCGGGTTAATCCTGATCGTTCACTAAAGCCTTTCTCAATTATTTCTTATGCCTGTGCAGAAATATAAATTGGTGCTTGTCGTTAGTGTGTTTTCTTTTACATTTTACACGGATCAGCCGGGGTTCTTCTGAAATTCTGCAGGCCACATGAGGAAGAAGTCTTTGCATACACAGGAAGGACAGGCTTTTGTTTTACGTAGCCATATACAGCTTTGGGACAAAAAAAAAAATAATAATAATTGCTACTGCCCAGAGCTAGAGCACACAAAAAATACAACCCTAGTACTTTCCACGACATCACAGTACACTAGATCATATGGCTTATGCAATTGGCATGGACGCCACATGTGAATACAGCCAGAAAAAATTAAAATGCCACTCTTGTATTTTATATTGGCAACATTAACAAGTTGAAATAGCAATTATCTTAGGTCTCTGTATATAGAGACATGCTTTAGTAGAAAATTAAAATGTCTTATAAATATCGTAATCTGAAAGAGGTGAAGAATTTGAGAACGCGGAGAGTTGTGAATCCCAACATAGATTTACGTTCAAGGCTGCAACTGTTGCAGCCTTAATGACAAAAAGAGTGCTCGAAGAAGCATTGGCTCCAGCAGCACCCCATGTTCATGATTTTTTTTTTCCTCTGTTTCTTGGTCTTCTATTTCCTCTATCTCTTTCCTTTATACTATTTCCCTTTCACTGCACCCCAAGTAGCCAACCAAGCCAAAGCTTGGCTAACCTCCCTGCCTTTCTTCTCCATTACTTTACCTCTCTCCATCTTTTCCGAGCTTCCTTTCTTCTTCCATCTTCCCTTGAACTATTGCCTTTTCTTTTATTTTTAGAGTCTTTTTTCTTATCTTACTTCACATGAAACATTTATCCAGTAGAGAAGAGGTAATATGTTTTCCTTGGAAACCGAGTTTGCAGTATCTGGAGACGGGGCAGGAATACCAGGCAGTACGAACCTCTGGTGGTAGCCACCGAAGAAGCGGACGTCGTAACCCTGGTCGTCGGCACGTATGACCTTGGCTGGCCAGTAGGGAAAACCTTTCTGCTTGGCAAAGACGAGATCGTGTGGCGGGTCACATGGCTGACAGAACCAGTACTTGTCGCGCTTCTCGTTTGACATGCGGTAACAGGCACTGCACTGACGAATTTCATTCAAATCGTAGCTGCAGTCTCGCAACATCTGTCGGGCCATGTCGGCCATGCAACTGTGTACTGCAGGAGAAAGAGAAAATAAAGCATGTTGAAGGGAGGTGGGACTGATGACTTGCATCAGGAAAAGACAGCCGAGAGGGATGCAGCTGTGAAACAGTAAATGTAGGCAAGTCATGGATTTCATGCAGGCAGCAAATGAAATAAAACAGAGCTGTTTGAGCACAGAGCCACAACATTGCTGACCATCGAAAACCCTAGCACTAATTAAGTATTCTGCTAAACTTCTAATTACAGTAGACTCTCAGTAAGCAGAAATCTGTTAAATGAAACTAATGCTTAAATGGAAGTATTGCCTCTTAAATGCTTAGTTTCGAGCTTGTATTCTGCACCCATGTTCACCTCTTAGTAAACGGAACTCCTGTTAAATAAAACATTGTCCTGGTCCCTCCAGGTCTGTTTACCGAGAGTCTACTGCAAAAGAATGTTTGGCAAGTCAAATATTCCACAACAAAATCTTTGTTTTCACGTTCATAAGGTAAAGCTACAGAACCGTAGTCATGAAAAGGATGCAAATTGCATGCACTCACGGAAATCAAAGCCTTCCCTTTCCATGCTTTGCCCTTCCTCTCAAATCTACTATCAGCATGCATGTACAATAAATCTGTTTCTCACAAAGAAAAAGAAAACCAACACATAAGAGGATAACAGGAAGAACATAAAAGAGAAACAGTGTACGTACTGCCATAAAAGATGACAACATTGTGCACAATGGTCTGGGCATCAGCATGGAACTCCTCCAGGCTCGTATACTCGCTGTTTCGCGTTTTCTCTTCCATAGTGATGAGGTCCATTTTCTGGTAGATAAGATAGCCCTGCTTCCAAGCATCCCCTTCAGACAACAGCAGTCGATGCAGGTCTTTCGTCTGAGCAGTGGGGCAAGAAATCAGCAGAGTTCGTAAGTACTTCCTCATTGCAATCGGGCAGGACGAGCAGCAACAAGAATGAGGAATGTAGAGTGGCAGGCAAGCCGGATGAAGTGCACCGTAAATGTACAGGGGGTCAAAAGTTCCCAGGCCACACTACAATAGGAATACGTAGGATAGTGGCCTTGGGAACTTTAGGCCAGCCCTGTACATTTTGCTAAGGCTTGGCCGAGTGTCATGTTGGGCACTTAGAGATTTGGACGGTGTGTCATAAAGCAATGACCTGCTCGGAAAGAAGCTGGTGCTGCTGCAGCAGACAAAACCCTAGCTGCAGTGTTAAGAGTTCTATTTTTGCTTGGGTAACATATAACTTACAGTGACACTCATGTACCAATAACGCTTCCATTATAACCACAGTTCTAGAAAGACAGTCCATAATTAGAGGCATCTGCCATGCAATGGCACATCAATTAAAAATAAATGCATATGATAAACCATACATGTCCTAACATATGAGGAATAAAACCACATTTATCTATGGATGTGCGCACGGTAATAGAAGGAAGTACTTGGGTCGTAAAACTTAGCAGTTCAAGATTTTTGCAGACTACAATGTTGGGGGATAATGTGCCTAAACAATGACATTACGACGTGATAATGAAGTATTAGGTTAGGTACTGGGGATTGTCAATTATTTCTAGCATCTGGGGTTCTCGTAACGTTTTTCTAAATCTCAAGAGCGCAAGAATTTTTCAAACATCAAACTTGGTGGCACAAGACCATAGCAACAGTACTACTGTAGTGAGTTCAGTTTGCAAACAAGACTAGACAATTATGTGCGTTCTATTTCTGCATAGAGTTCTATACAATAATGCCTAGAGGGAAAATTGGCGCTTGTGTCTACGTGGGCTCCTTCCGCGGCACTTGTACAAACATGGGAGTTATGGGAAGTACAGGCTTCGGATCCGCTTCAGATAGATTGCATTCTTGAGATTCGCAATGCTTATTTTCCGAGTGTAAAGCAAAGCGATATGAATTTATATTTAATTGAAACTTGCTCCATTTCATTGTACGCAAACTTTATTGCAAAAAGTTTTTGCGACGAGGGGGCAAAAGTGAGACCTGGGCAAATTTAATCGTCGGGGTATCTATCCATTGCTCTGCCATTGCGTTCCAGATTTCGCATCAAGATTTAATAAATTACCTTTTACAACACTTGAAAACAAGCATGCTTGTTTCTTTCTTGAAAGTATGCGTTATCTATTTATGGAAATAACAGTACAGTATTGATTGACAAACACGTAACGTTTCTTTTGCTGCGATGGCAGGTGCATCTGTCCAAGTGGTCTGCCTCTAACGCACGTCACGTTCTGTTGTGAAGTTGAATTAGAGGAGTATAACAGGGCGCCTAGTTAGCTTCGCCGTCATTTTGCAGTTGATTTAAATTCCAAGACGCGCATGCAAACAAACATAAACTCGGAGTAATATTCTGCATCTGAATGAGACACCACATTTATGCGCAGTGGTGAGTGAACGATGCCACATTTAAACTGTCAAATACGACTCGTAAAGCTTCAACATCGGTTCAAACTTCACACCTAGTGGTCCTAAGCCTTTTTAAACATCAATGGCACTGCTTCAGTGCTTTTCACCGCACCCCACTACCCACGCTCCGCAAAAAACAAAACAAACTGTAGAAGCAAGTCTGCAGACATTTCGCTAGCTAACCCTATCCAATCCGAAGCCTGTACTTCCCATAATTCCCATGGAGGTACACGATCACAGCACCGGATTGCTCTCTAGGTATTATTGCATGAAACTCGATGTTTTTGTGTTTGTGTGTGGTTGTGGGTGCGTGTGTGTGTTCTGAATCTTTGCTGCCACTCTGCACCCCTTTCAAAGCACAGGTAGCGCAAACATCTTCTCTTCAACACTGGGTGGCACACAAGCAGGGTTTTTCAAGCTCTGGCTCAAGCAAGCAATGCAGCTGCTGGTGTTGCTCAAAGCACACATTTTCACAGCATGAAAGAGCCAAGTGTGCGGCTAGTCAGCGCTGCTGCAAGTAGCATTTCTGCATATTTGCTTCCAGTCAGAGGCACTTGAGCAACAACGAGACATGAGAGAGTGCACACACTTAAGGAATGCTAGAAACAGAATACAAGAGGCACACATTTCATTCAACTGGGACATCAACAGGGTAAACATAAAATTGAAGTGAACAACACCAACCCAGCATCTTTCTCTTCTTCAAGCTCTCTCTTCTTAAATCATCAACCTACCTCCATTCACAGTGTGCTATGTTTCATGCCGGTATTTACACATCCAAATTTACAGAAGGTGACTGAAGTTACAAAGATGCAAGAAACTGTGGCCAAAAGGATGGATGGCTTCCACATCACTGTGGAATAGATGTGACCATGAAATGGAAGTGATGCAAGTGAGTTACTGTAAGACTATTCATATAATATAGCGAGGAAATGTTTGAGCCAGAAGAAACTTTTTCTCGAGAACACCCAATGTACACACACTGTATACAGAATCAAAATGACAGAAGTGACAGTATGTGTTTTCATCAAACTATGACACGGCACCGAGAATTGCAAACTACATTTCGCGACTACCATGACTTCCTGCTTCCAAATAAACAGCGTACATTTCTCCAGAGGTTATGTTTAGTAGAATTCCACAGTGATACTGGGTAATTTAGCACATCATCTAACATTGTCTGTACTAAGCACCAAGCAAAACATGCACCATTTTGTAGTTTCTTGTTTCCTTTTTTGTTTTTTATGCAATCATGACAACCACCGGTTAATTTGAACATTGTGTGATTTATCCCCCCATGCTGGTGACAAAAACAAAACTTCCGTTTAGAGAAGAAAGGCCATGTCACATTGATTCTACCAATACAAAGTACAGCAAAGTTACTTCAATGACTTTTATGAATGCACAGAGTGTACTGAATGATAACTTCGATTATGACACAGCCATCGGCAATATTATGAGCTAAGAAGAATATATGAATGAACAAAGAATGCATCAGTGACATTTCACTGTACATAATGTACGGCTCACGTATGGCAGAAACGTACCAAGCCCTTCATATGTTAGGCCATGTTTCCCAAAGCGTAGCGACCTGCCTTTCAACATCACAAACTCCCACAACGCTGGTGATCGGTACAGAAAACTGAGTGCCATATACGCCACCGCTCCTCCAGCAACAATTAGAGAACCAGTAACCTCCGCGCCTCCTCTCTAACAAGGAAAAACAGCATGAAGGCCTGAAAATAAAGAAACTGCATGCACTAATAAAGTAATGATGTGAAGAACACAAGAATGATTATGTATAAGCAAACCAAATGAAACTGCGAGAAGACAAGGTGAGAGTGAACACCCAAGAGTACATTCATTCCAGCCAGCAACCACGTTCAAGCAAGCAGCACTAGCACAGCGAAAGAAATGGCAGGAGGGGAAGTGGGGAAGGATGCTTGATTGAGGTGGTTCCTTTACCTGGGCCTGCCGTGGCAGATGAGGGCTTTGAGGGGCAATCTATCAGATTCCACATGAAAAGTGCACATGTCAGCTATCTCACGGTGAGGCTTGCAACGAAGCGGCAACTACGTGGAACACATCTGCAAAGTACTTTTAGAACGGCACCGCCAAGCTTCAATGCATTAGTTTCACACCGCACAGTGACAGACCGCAGTTAGGGTCAAAACGTGGAACATGAAAGGTGTCCACTTGAATTGATAACGATATGAAACAAATTATCGGCGAAGATTAACTGCGCGGTCATCGCGAACGGTGAAGCAGATGCACTGGTACCAGGTGATGCCGTGCTAAAAATATGTTGCAAACACGTTGCATGTGGTCGCAGCTTAAAACTTGCAGAATGAGCTATATAAACATACATGGCAAACAGCATATGCTCTATGCCTGGTTTCACACTGCCAAAATAAAGGTATAGAAATTCAAGTACAAAAGGAAGCCTGCTTGCTTGACTGGGCATTCTGCCTTTCCTTCCTGTGCACATTCATGTGCTGGGTACATGTGTGCATGGAATGAAATTATTCAGTACATGATTATGTGCAACATCTGTGATTTAGAGATAGAGTTGGTTAAAAAACAGTGCACCATAAAGGGGTGTGCTGTTTTGAGTATGATTGTTAAAATGCATATGCTAATTACTGACAAGCAGCGAAGGCTGCACAGATGTCTATGGAAGAAAAAAGAAAAGGCACCAGATCAGAAGCTCCAACGAAGCCTTTCTAAGCATCAAACAGGCATTGTCTCAGTTGTACTAATACAGATATATTGGCAGTTCTTAAGAAAAAGCAAAATTAATTTGCTCGCAGAATGTTAAGACGATGACTGGCACAAAACACCCTGCTGAAGCTAATACGCTGTGCCTGTCTTTACTATACTCCATCTCAAAAGTTCCCTTCAGCACTGTGAAAGCTACAGGGCCCCTTAGCCAATAAGAGGGGTGATCAGCCCCTCCATGTGTATTCATCTGCATCGCATCGTCTGCTCGGCGTCTCCCTGGCATCGGTTCAAATGCGCAAGGTGAGTGAAGCGAACAGACCGCATCGCCGAAAAAGAAAAGGTCGGACCTATCGCAGCCGCTGCCATCTGCATTTCTGCTCTGCTCTGCATTTCTGCTCTGTTCGGTATGCCAATTTGTAGGTGAAAAAAATTTGTGCTTCAAAAAATAACCCACATGAAAATATCAAAGCAAAAAAATGGCTTCCCAGTGACGCACAGTGGTCTGACCTTTGTACCACCACAAAAATGGGTGTTTTTCGTAGGTTGCACTACACCTTTTTTCGCTGAAGCAACTATTACACCTGATATTCTTGTTTATATAATACATTAACAAAAAAAGCTGAATGAATAAACTTTTCCCACATAGAAGTTTCACCAGCGAGATGTGTGTTACAGAAGCAATATATATAAACTGTTAATTTCAAGATAGAGGGAGAAAATTGAGGAGTTTGTAAGGACACGCTACTGTTTACTAAAAAAGGAGGGGGGGAGAGATATACGAAATCAGCCGTCTAATAGGCACCATTACTCAAACTTTTTCAGTGAGCACGACTTAACCAACAAAAGTTTTGCTTTAAGCATTACAATTGGGTGTGTCATGTGAAACAGCAGTTCATTGATGCAAAATAGAGTAATGTCGCATGTCTTGCAGGAAACTCGTTTTCTGCTTCAAAGAGTTTTCTGCTTCGTTTTATAGTCATGCTTATATTAGTTATAATAGTTTCTATAGGTTTCCACCCTGCCAGGCAGGCGCCGAAATGCAACACGAGATGGCCTAAAGCAGATAATGAAGCTGAACAATGTTCGGGGCTCGTTTGCATCATTTTTCTCAGAGTCAGCCTAAAGCAGATAATGAAGCTAAACAATGTTCGGGGCTGGTTTGCATCGTTTTTCTCAGAGTTAAAGTCCAACGAAAAAGCAGCATCCTCAGACTCGCTACAGCTTGTTAAATCAATATCTTCAGCTGCAAACACACCATAATGCCCTTATCTGCAATCTTTGGAAGTATGGGTGCACGCCACACTCTGCAGTGGCTATTATCGCTTTCCGCTTACACAATCCTGCCACTTTGGAATGCACTAAAAAATCAAGGTTTCGTGGGAGAAAAATACTGGATAATGAAAAACACTATGGTTGGCCTCCTTCACGGTGGACAGCACAGTACATCCATAAATGACGCAGAATGTCTCAAAAGCGCCAATTCAAATCAACGCTCACTATCCAAAAATATTCAAGAGTGACTTATGGTCACTGTTATCATATGCATCACACGTCTTCCATTAATGGCTTATTTAACTGCACTTGATATGTTTCACTTTAAAATGGCAAGGGAAAGTGTTTCAGGAAGCGTAGTCAAACCTTCCTTTCTCCCAGCCGATCCCTTATGCCACGAGTAATTTGCATCGTTGCATTAGTAGTTTCTGGTGTCGATATCCCTAACTAGCAAAGTCAGTCAGATTGTCACTGGATTTCGCTAGGTTCTATCCATCCAAACACTGGAAGATTGAGTTAAGAAAGACTATAGAGAAAGCATTTGCTGCTTCAATTAGGTAAACTGCATACCAATAACCTTTGACCATTAACCTAGTGTTTATATTAAAGGGGCTCTGGAACATCTTTACAAATAACCACTGAATGGCTTCGTTAGAGGAGTTTATTGCATCATGAATTGACCACTATGAAATTTTTTTAAACCAGTCAAGTACGCACGGAGTTACTCAGACTTTTTCCATGCTTCAATTGCTCTCCCTCTTCTCTCGTCCCAACAATTGCACTGGAAGCTAGGCATGGATTAAAGGGGAAAGAAGTTACGTCCCACTTGCATCATAACTTCAAGCACTTTCTCTTTTCTATATTTTTGTTTTTTCTTTAGTGCACAGTTTCCTTTCAGGATGATAGCAAGCGTCTGCATGGGCACGCTGTGGCCTCCCATAGGGGACATAATGACTATGCAGCTCACAATGTTCTGCTCAATCAGCCAACTGCCGTGAAAGTTCAGTATTGGCATCACTTGTAGATTTCTAGCCAACCTTGTGGATTATAAGTTCCAGGACATGTGCTGCGCTATAACGTTTGTCTTGCGTGTTCACAGAAGCTTTGACTATTAATTGGCACAGTTTCCCTACAATACTGAAAAAGTGTTGCAGGGTCCCTTCAAACCAATGTAATGTGGTTGCTGTTCAAGTCAAGGTAATATTTCTAGAGAAATAGAAAGCCTTTGTCCACTACACCCAATCTAGCCATAACGTCTCTCATGAATCTACAGTACCTGTAACTTCAAGCACTTACACATTACACTTGTGCAGAGGTCATAACACTCGGTTCAAGGCAAAATGCCCTGCAGGCTAGCATTCCTGGGGGGTTACAAAGCACATGCCATGAGGGAAAACAAACAAAACCCTTTCCTACAGAAAAAAAAAATACTTTAAAGGAAGATGAATGCATGCAGGATTCTCCATCTTCTGCAAAAAGAAAGGCCAGTGATCGCCCCACCTTGTCTTTCAGCCGCAGACATGTGTAGCTGAGGAGGAGGTTCATGTCATCCACTTTTAGCTTCAGTTGCTCCCGTTCCTTCAGTTGCTGTGGCAAAGAAAAGGTCATCCAAAATTGTTGTTTGCTCGGCAGCAAAGCAGTAACAACCGAGGTATTTCTTTAGTCAAAGTTGGAATAGGCACGCACACCGACGCTTATGCAACTCGCTAAATCCTGTGTGACAGCAAATTAAGGAAGCTATAAAGGCCATACAATATGCAGCAAGCTGATGTGCTGTGTTCCGCAACACAGTTCATTTGTCCATGTTCACTGAGAGATCCCGCAAAGTAACTTTTTGCACATTTTCAGCAGATGAATGAAATGACCTCCGCTGACAACCTGAAAATTGACGCTTCAGCATGCAACCCATGTGCTATACACCTTGTCAACGAAGGCTTGCTGGGGGCGTCTTAAGCCCCCCTGGGCTGTTAACATGCATGACCCCCAAAAAATGCAAGGCCGAAGCTGTGAAGCTTTTGTACTCCTGTGCAAACAGCCCAGAGGGAAGGGTCCTCCTCTCGGTTAAAAAGGTCTACTCTCAAACCTCATTATAAAAAAGTTGCATCTTACACGAAAGCAGGTTTGTTATATCCAAAACTTCGTTATACAAGTTTATTTTAAACACTATACATATTGCAAGACTATTTTTCACATACTTCGTCATAACCAATATTTCATTATATCCGGTATCGTTATATCGAGGTTTCAGTGAACAAAAAGTTCGACACTCACGCAGCAGACTGTGCAAACGAACTTGTCTTCATTGGAGAGGTCTTCCTTGACACACACCACATGGTACACTCGGTGACACGTGCTACACAGAAGCACTTCGCCACCTCTGTGGCACTCAAAGCAGTACCAGTCGTGACCATCCCTCTCCTATGAAGAGGTCAAAGAATGCAATACCTTGTTATCACAGTGCAAGAGGGGCAGCACACACTAAGTTTGCTTTCTGAAAACTTTCATGGCCTTATGAAGCCAATTTCAATTGTAGTGTGCACGATTACATTTCAGGGCTACAGCCAAGAAAAACGATAACTAAACGTTTATTTAGCCATTATATATGCAACGTCGTTTGGGGTAAACTATGTAAACTAGTAGCTTCTACATATCAACACATTATTCATTGACAGTGAAATCGAAATGGTGCCTCCTAGCCTTTTAAGAGTCATCATAAGATGGCACAATGACATACTAGGGGTAAAATGCAGAGTGAAGTAGAGTGATTCAGTTGTTTCGATTACATAGCTAACAATAAAAGTAAACTTTTAATGCATGTGAATATCATATTTGGTAGTCATGAGGTACTCTCTCGTGACTCGAGTGTTCACCCAACTGCTTCCTTTATTCCAGATTCTTATTACTAACTACATCCTATGCAACGTGAACGCCTTCATTGCCAATAATACAGATAAGTACTTTAAGCACTAATATGTACACTTTTACTAGGCTAACTTGATTTGATCATGAAGAAAATTTCACTATTCATCTTGTTTTCAGTCAGATGTCATAGAATGTTCTTGCAGTCAATATAGACCAATGAAAATGTTATATTTCAAGCTGTCTGCAAATATTTATGTGAACCTCAGAAAGGAAACCTCACACTTTTTTTTTGCCTGAAATATTGTTTAACCAGGTAAGCATTGTTACGAAGTTGCTGCTAGGCACAATACATGCCAACTTGTGATGACACTGTCCTAAATGTGTCGCAAATTCTATAGTGAAAGAGCGATGTGTGATCAAGCTGCACATGGAACAACGTTGGTGTGCACTCTTCAATGTATGTAGGATGAGATATGCCACAGTGTAAAGCACAGTGTAGTATATCCAACTACCTGGGCTTCTTAAATGTGAATGTATGTTCAAGTGCACGGACATTTTTGCATTTTACCCTCATTAAAAGACAGCTGCCGTAGCAGAAAACTGAACCCAGGGCCTCGTGTTCAGTATGGAACACCCTAGCTCTAGGCTACCATGATGGCAATACTAAGCAGCTTCTTTAGCCAAACAAGGATGTTTGCAATGATGCGGTATACTTTTATGGAGAAGCTGCAAAGTGTGTATGCATGCAAAAAATGTGATAAGTAAACACACCGCAGGTTCATTAGGGAGCTGGAAGGCCTCCTGCTCAACGCCCACTTTAGAACCTTTGGAGCCAACCTTCTTCTTGGAGACCACCAGGCCATCTCTTACGGCGAAACCAAGCTGGCGTTCTGTGTCAGCTTCACTCAGCTGGTGCTTGCGGCGCATGTAATTTGCCACACGGTCCAAGTTGCTCACCTGGGCCCCAGCATTGGAAAAAGTGTAAGCACTGCTGCATACATTGTTCAGTGTCATTAGAATGCAACAACAGCCACTGGTACTTCAAGGGACCCTGAGGTGAAACACAAAACCCGTTCATAGCTAAAATTTATTCTTTGAATACTACAGTGAATGGCACGATCATAAATTGAATAGTGGCATAAAAGAATGTTCTGTATGAATTTGAACACTTACAACCTTATCATATGCACCAATACCTTTAAATGAAGGTGCTTGGTCATTCAAACAGGGGTTGCAGATGTCCTAGTTTACATCAAAACAAATGGACCTGGGTTTACCATGTAATGCGTATAACAAAAAACTAGTAAGAGCAACAAAATGGTTATCAAAGCATGGCAAACACAGTCAAGGTAAGGCAGAGAATTGAACAGAGTGATGAAATAAAGACGTTCATAGGAATAAAATAGAATCTGCTCGAATAAAGTAGGGTAAAACGGAAATCACTGGGAGGGAGCCTTCATCCTTCAGAAAACTGAAACAGGCCGAGAATGATGACGGTCATTTTCTCACCATTGGAGTAGTGAAATGAAACCCACGAGTTGGTATAAATCATCACCCTCATCTTGAAAAAATCTCCCTTCATGCAAGGCGCTCCCTCATCTTCCACAAAGCAAAGTATTGGAGGCCTCTGCTAATGCCGTAGGGAGGGTCACTTACCTGCTTCTGCTGCCGTATAGAGTCTATGGCGTCCCACAGGTGCTGCACTGTCTGCGGGCATGACAGCCGGCGCTTGCAGCTGGCCATGTTTGGGCCCAATTCTGCAATCAAGAGGACAAGAGACAAGCACGTTTGCACAATGCAAAACACTGGCACACACTATGTGGTAAGGCGAATAACAAGCCAAAAGTGTTGAACCGGAAGGCCACATGTAATGTAGTTCTGATATGTAAATTCTCATGATGAAACCCTGAAAAGTCTGTTTTACAATTGTGAACCTCAATTGTCCCAATGAATTTCATAACACCACTGCATCTTATACAGGTGTTTTGGCCTGCAGGGTGCAAGCGAGTATGGTCACACGGTGTGACGACTTCATGTAAGCACACTGAAAGTCTTTTGCAGTGTCGTGTACAAGTAATTTATGCATACAATGCGCAGGCAGGCAGACCAGCAGTATAGATTGACTACCAAAATAATATCCTGGACACACTCTTTTCAAATCCCATAATTACCAGGTAAACAAATTTATCGGAACAGTCACAGTGCAGCAGAGCTGGTGCTTTATGTGCAAATGCCCCACTTTACTTGGTCATTAAGGCAAAACTGAACAGTTAACGAGAGATGAAATGTGGGCTAGTTGTTAAGCCATCTTCAGCAGAATGAGTAACAAATATGGCCTTTTATTATTCTGTCATTTACTACCACTACGGGAAATCGGCTCAAGATGAACAGTTGTGCACATTCCAATATTGCAGGAGTTCTGGCACATTAAAACTAAAATTTCTCTTTGTTATGTCTACAGTATGAATTTCAGACAAGATAGTCTACTGGTAATTGAAAAACTTAAAGATATGAAGCTTTCATGACCCTTTCACAATTTAAGCGAGCGACCAGTGTAAGAGAGCACTATTAATCGCCGAGCTTGGTGTATTAACAGAGGGATCAGTTATCAGTGTGCTAAGGTGCGCTCGGCTTGCCCCCAGTATTAGAAGAAAAGCAATGGGGAGAGGAGGGAGGAGGGGCGCAAGCCCTGGTGGCATACTTTATTTCCAATTACCAGCTGCATTTTGTTCCAGACATGTAGGTAAATGGTTTAAGTTAACCACACATAATGTAGCTCAAATTGTCACCACAAGGATGAGGTATTTATACTGTGCGCCTCTCTTAGTGAATGTGTAGGCATGCAGACCCACAGCGACGTCACCTGGGTGCTGCCCGCGTGAAAACTGGAAGCCTACCCCGCGGGACTTAAGCGAGCACGGTTCATCCAAACGCGTCACGGCGAAAACAAACAAAAAAAAAGTCCATCGGCAAGTTACGAAAATACGGTACGCAAATACGGTAGAACAGTTCGGTAGCGCTTCTTTCCAGGGACAGTGGGTCCCCCGGGCGACAGGTTCCTCGTGAACAATGCGAAGGCCGACAGGCGTGACAACCCCACAGCAATTTTGGAAAGAGCTTTTGTGTTATTGGGGTGCCTTCACTGGTATAAGGCCAACGACCAGAAAGGACGAGCGGTACGGTAAGACCATTACCATACAGTATTTGCGTACCGTATTTCCATAACTCGAAGGGCCCTATTGTCAGGACGGAGACGGGTGACTAACAGTCGTTTTTTTTTTTTTTTTTTAGGCACTGCGCCGTGCTCCCGACCGGGCTGCAGAAATTAGGTGCATTTCTCCTCTTCTAACCACTACCACCACCACAGTCGCTTTCTCGCGGTTTCGCATTCTTGTTTAGCTAACCTCAGAGCAGCACGTGAACGAAAACTACGAACGTATCGTCACCTTGAGGGCTTCGACAGGCACCCGGATGTGGCGACGGCATCATTTGCCCCATGGTTAACACAAGTGGGACCGAAGATAAGCGTGGTGCTACGCTTACGGCGAATACCTCGGGGAAAATGTTGGCGCCCACGGGTGTTTGGCACTTTGGCGCCAACTACGATGGATCGGCTTCGGCTCCGCTCGGCTATCACAGATAACTGTCCCGATGACGTCAACGGCGTCAAGCTGAAGATCTCGCTGGATGGAAACGCTCGACGTGATACGCGTAGTAGTAGCAGTAATGCCACTGTGATGTGTAGTGATCGACAGGGGGAAAAGGACACGGGTGCAACGACCACAGCGTGGTCACCGAGTCGTAGCTTCAAAAGAGTTGACGGTTGGGCGAGTTGGTGCTTTGAAATAGAAACTATCGTGAGAGCGCAACTATATGTTAGGCTTGTTCTTCGTCGGCTGGTGCAGCGGCTAGAGTGTGGTCCGGCGCATGACATTACCTGAAGTGCGCGTCTATTGGTGGAGGCTCGTGTACGTCCGCCTTTAAGGGGAAAACGCCGCTCCCTTCTTAAGTTGTACCCGACTATAGGTGGGAGCACAAGAAGAAACAGACGAGGACAGGCGCACACTACCAACGTAGCTTGTTTCCGCTCTCGTTGTCACTCGGCTCGGGTTCTCATGCGAAGAGTGCAAACGGCACACGTGCCCGATCACGTGTCAAGATAGCCCCCCCACACACACACACACATTCACGGCACTGGCACTCGCCTTCCCCTTAAACACTATGGAAGATGGAATGTGGAGACTCCGATAATATACAACTAGCCAGATCTAGACGCAAACCTTCAACTGGACCCGGTGCGATCGGTGTGACTCGCACATTTGTTAGATAACTGCAGAATGCTGACCAATCACACACGAGCGAAAGGTTAGTTTTCGGTGCTCACAAAATTGCGCCACAAGAAATCGGTTGCATACACGGCTAAGTTTCTGTCACGTTTCTTACTGCACCGCCGAGCACAGAACGGCATGGCAACTGGCGCGACAGTGACATATTGTCACACACTTCGGGTGAGGCCCCGCCGATCCAACATCGACGTGCGGCAGACTCGCAGGCTTCCACTTTACGCTTCGGCCTGCGACGCCTGAAAGGCCTCGAAGTGGCGCATTTCGAATTTATTTGCGGGTTGGCCGACCCGTGCGGGGTTGCACGTGTAGTGATGTGTGGGCCTGACCGACGCACTCATAGAGCAGACACGGAGTTTGATTACAACTAAACAAGCATTTAATTAAAACAAGGGCAAAGGCAGGAGATTACAAAAATAGCAAAAGAGGAAACTGATACGCGCGATGAAAAAAACAGCTAGATAACACAATATGCTAAAAGAACACCACAAGAGGTACTAGCACAGGCCAATACGCGGAATGTTAATAAAATAACGACAAAAATGGAAATCAGAAAGGAGCGATACAAGGGAATAATTACACAATGATCATGGTGGCGCTTTTGAATTTAGACGTGCGTCGCAGTGCACACAACTACACAGTTTAAAAAAAAGGGGGCTGGTTAAAACAATTTAGCAGTTTAAAAAAAAAGTCACAATAAAAGTTCCATACGGACCAGGCCAGCTCTTGGTGCACGTAGGGGAGTTGACGGGTGCCGCTGAAGGTCTCGCCGGCTTGGTAGACGACGAGGGTGCCCGGAATTGCAGCCGTCTCAATACGTTGCGCGGGTCACTCCGTGCTCGCCGCCTACGCGAGACTCGCGACACCGACGACCGCACTTGTTGCTGGTTGTACGTCAACTGCTCTTCCGATGCAGTTCAAACCGCCTCAGGGGCGTACACGTGCTCCCGTCGTCTCATCTGGGAGAAATTTTCCCTGTTTAGATCGGCGGTGCCCCTTCCGGTACCGGTGCAGGGAAGACGAACCGGCGCCACGTTGGGTCGTTATAGTCGCCGGATGTCGTCTCCCAACACAAAAACGCCCTTCCTTGGAAGATGGGGCCCGCGGATGCTCCGAAAATTGGAGCCGTTTGTGACATAGCCCCCTTCTTAAGAATATTACTTCGTAATGTTCAAGAAAATCACAAACGCTCAATGTTCGAGAGCCTGCCGTGTTCCGGTTGTCCACCAATGCGTTTTCTTTTTCGCGCGCACCATTTCGCTGACGTGGACGACACCGCAGAGAACACCCGACACACCACACTTTCACGGTCACTATACGATGAAAGTCAGAACTCGCGCACAACGTCATGTCCACACACATGAAAAGACAATGACAAAAATACTGCACATTTCCAAGCTAAGGCACGTAAGCATCCTTTGATGCCACATATTAAAAACAATACACGCTTTAAGCGGTATTAAAAAGTCACTTATTGACACGCAGCTTTCGAAAAAGATGAATAAGAAAGAAATCGGCATGATCGCCTGTACGCAGTTGTTTGACCCTGCTGCACACTAAAGCACTTCATTTCGAAATGATAATTACAAGGAAAGTTGTGAAGAACATGCACATAACGCCATGATTATCACACATGCGTACCGTGATAGACTTTGATTATATGACCAACCGGTCTCCTTAAAAATTCAACTAATTAAAATAACCATGTCCCTCAAACAGAGCTTCCCTAACTAAACGTGTATTAAGTTCAAACATAAAAGCATCGTCTACAAACACACGGACGACACAAGCAAACAATGAATTAACTAAGCTATTGATCCCCCTCATTAATGGAATGCTCCAAAATCGAAAAACATAACTGAACATTGTTTCAAAAAACAAGTCATTTGCCTTTAAGGTTACTTTTGAGTGTCGATGTACGCAAATTTCACCCGTGCACGAGGTGGCCGTGCTCGTGGAGGAACCGTTTGAAGCAACCAGGGCAGACAAAACAGTGGACGGCCGCTACCCCGACATCTGTTTCCCGCTAGTTTGCCCCGTGGCTGCAAGCCATCGTCGACACCGCGTTCTACGGAAATGGGCTTTGCACCCGCGTCGCGTCGTCTAGGCATATTGCGCTCCTTCCCCATGCATTCCGCTCCTCGAACACAAGAATGGAGTGGTGGGGGTTGGCTCCTCGGAGCAGCAGGTACAATCGCCTGCCTCACCCCCCTACCCTTCAAGCGGTTTGGGGCATGACTACCCCCTCTACTGGCGAATGCCACAAAACGCAATCGAAGCTTTCGTTGCGTTGATTGACGTTTGGCGATCCTCGATTTCATGGGTGGATTTACACCCTTCGCTTCTCTCTTGTTCTTGCTTTTGCGGCGTCTTTTTCCTTTTGCACGTTGCTCAGTGCTCACTTTTGAAAAGTC